CATCGTACCAGTTGTTCTTTCGGGCTCGCTGAAATCCGACTACTTCTTCGGCGGCGGTACTTAATGAGCGGGAAATGTGGTTCCACTGCTCGCATATGTCGGTTTGTTGAAGAGTGCTCTCTGAGAGCAGGTGTGAGAGTCGAGTAGCGAAAGCGCTGGCTGTCTGTTGTGTGCAGCTTTTCGACGTTAAGCTTTCCTTATATATTTGGGCGCACATTTTTTGCTGCACAGAGGCGGGTGCGTATCTTGGCTGCAACAAGATAGTGGTCCGAGTCGATGTTTGGGCCTCGGAGTGTGCGTACGTCTAAAACACTGGAAGCGTGCCTTCCGTCTATCACAACATGATAAATTTGGTTCCTCGTTTTTCGATCCGGAGACAGCCACGTAGCTTGATGGATCTTTTTATGCTTGAACCTAGTACTGCATACTGCTGTCGGACGTTTCGTCGTGGAGGCTGAATTTTCCGACGGTGGTTCCAAAGATCCCTTCCTTGCCCACCCTGGCATTGAAGTCGCCAAGCACGATTTTGATATCATGACGGGGGCAGCGCTCGTACTTGCGCTCCAAGCGCTCATAGAAGAGATCCTTAGATGCCTCATCCTTCTCTTCCGTCGGGGCATGGGCGCAGATGAGCGAGATGTTGAAGAATCTCGCTTTGATGCGGATTGTGGCTAGACGCTCGTCCACCGGGGTGAACGACAGTACTCGGCGACGGAGTCTCTCTCCCACCACAAATCCAACTCCGAATTTGCGCTACTTTACATGGCAGCTGTAGTAGACGTCGCAAGGCCCCAGACATTGTTTGCCTTGCCCCGTCCAACGCATTTCTTGGATGGCGGTGATGTCAGCTTTTGTCCTTACGAGGACATCAACCAGCCGGGCAGAGGCACCTTCCCCATTAAGGGTCCGGACATTCCAGGTGCATGCCCTCAAATCGTAGTCCTTTAAACATTTGCCGTGGTCGTCATCATAAGGGGGGGGTCTCATCCGAGGCTTTGCCTTGCTTCTTCACTGGAAGTGGTTTTTACGTGGCGGGTCCCAAACCCAGCGCACAACCCATTGCTGGGACGGGGGTGGTTTCGCAACCAAATACACGTTTATATAGCGAGCCGATTGATCCAAGCAGACACCCGCTTGCAGCCGCACCTACTGGTGAACAGACGCTGCAGACTTCAGTGAGCCCTTAAACCGAATAAGTCAGATGGCCCCACCGAAGCTCCCTCTCTTTCTGCCGTGACCCAAGGCTCCACTCGGATTGGTTACCGCATCTCGCACATGGGTTGCTCACGTTGCCCAGAGTGCGCGAACGAGGACGCAAGAGTCGGGATTGAGTATAGCCATGCAACTGTAACTGCATACCCAGTGCAATGACTATACCCCATTGCACTCACAAAGATCACGATTACTCTTTAATTAAGATAACACAGGATTGGGGTTACAAGTGGCTTTGGATAGAAATCTGGCTGTAGCGCCACATTTTTTATGATATTTTAATGAGAAAAGAAAAACAAGTTCGAAAGGCAAAAAATTAAAACTTTCGCTCTCTTATTAAAAGCCTTTTCATGGCAGAAACATACTTGGCGGATGCCTTTTCCAACCGAGAGGCGACCGTTGTCATAAAATTAAGTTCAGAAAAAATGCCGGAAAAAATTAACAAAGTACTAAAATTGTTATTCAATAGATATTTCATTTCCTAAAATATTTCAGTTTTGTATAACATTTCTCTGAAACGCTTAGTCAGTGTCTTAGCATTTAAATATTTTATAAACTCATTTTGTAGACTACTATTCTTATAGTACAATATACAGTTTACAACTAGCTATAGATCAGTGATTCCCAAAGGGTACCAGGTGGACCCTCATGGGTCCACGGAAGACTCAACGGGGATCCACGGTGACGTGAAAACAAAATTGGGGGTCCATGAGTTGTAAATGGGGGTCCACGAAAATTTATCTGGTTTCGATGTAAGGAACCAAAATGGTTACTTGTTAGCCTCCTTATTTAACTTTAATTTTTTTTTTAAGTGGTTTGCTGCACTGCTGCACTTACCTTCACTTTGTGCCGGGGTGCAGGTATGACAATGAGTGGGGCGGGGCGAAAGTTGCTGGCAGCAGAGAGTTAAGCACTTGTGTCTTTTCAATGCTACAGGATAGTACGCCACCATTAGCTTGGTTGAAGAGATTCTATAATGTTGAGTTCCCTGAGACTGAATGCTGGTTTGATTCTATCGCTGAGACCGGACTCACACATTGCTGAATCTTCACTGATGGGGAATAATATGCTTCGGTCTTCCAGGCTGAGGTAATTGCAATACTCAAAGCCATTGCCTACGTGGTGGAACATAGGTGGAGGTGAAGGAGCTTACGTGACTGCAGTGACAACCAAGCTGCACTTAAGGCATTGACCAGCCCTCTATTTAAGTACTTCCAAACAAGTTCGGCAATGTAAGTCTCGACTAAAATATGATGGTGAACATAACGGGGTTGTTTTACTTTGGGTGCCAGGTCATTCTGGAGTACCTGGTTATGAGACATCTGATCATTTGGCCAGAGTTGGCTCAGACCAGGCGTTCCTCGGCCCGCTACAAGTTTCACCCGACTAGTCACTTCACGTGGCACAAACGCCTGACTGTGATATGCGCAAATGACAAGTCCAATTGCCCATCTTGCCTTGAAGAAGATAAGACGGTGGAACACTTTTTGTACTTCTTGCTTGCTTGGCTATTTGTCATCGATTTTTTTAAACTCGTTCTCTTCTCTATTGTCCGTTTCTGAATTTAAAGTTTGGCGTAAAAAGCATAGCCCTTTTTGATATTTTAAGTTTTGTGTTTTAAAAATGTGATAAATATTTTTCGTCTCACTTTAAAACTCGGAGAGATAAAAATAAAAATGATGCCATTAACACAAATAAACTATTTTACATTTACTTCACGTGCAAAGTCATGATTGAGTCGAACATTTGATGAGGTTATTGTTGAAGATAATGTAAATAACGCTAGCGCTCGCAGTGCTCTTAAAAAATATAACTCTTCCGAGCGAGAGAGTATTTTGGGCCCTATTTTTAAAAATCTACAAGTGTGTAATCACATTATTTTTATAAACAGAATACAAGAAAATATTTTACTTTTATTTTGGCCATTCTGAGTTTAGTTTTTGAATTCACCCGCGATGCAAATTTACATTGTTTGATCTAACATTTAATTTTTTTATGAGCTTTGGTAATATTTGGAAATGTATCAGCAGGGGGTCCACCGAAACCAGTCAATTTTTGAAAGGGGTCTACGTGAAAAAAAGTTTGGGAACCTCTGCTATAGATCAACATTATACACTACGAAACTCCGCCAACTTTTTTATATTGGTAAGATGAGGGTTAAAACTTTGTACAAAAATTAGAAAAATTCTGCTTACTTTCACAAAAAATTTCAAACTTTTTAATCTGAACTTTGGTATGCAGTTTTGTAGACCATTTAGTTCTAGTAAAACGAAGTGCAAGTTTCAAGCTGCTATAAAATCCCGTTAATTTTTGGCAATTTTTTTTTTTTGCTGGCAGTGTCCTCCATATAAAAGAAAATTGTTGGACATAATGCCGATGCCGATTAATCGGTCGAACTCTAGTTTTGTGTACTACTTCTGCACACTAAAAAAATTCAGGTAGGAAAAAAGTACTTTTTTTCGATTAAATGCAGTTAGAAAACGGCAGTATTAATTTTTGAAATGCAAAAAGTATAATACTGGAAACAAATATAAATACGAGGGTTATGTATGCATATTGTGCTGCTGAAAGTATCGGTTTCGCCAGTAGCAATCTTGAGCCCATACCTAGGCCTATGCAGTGCTTTAAGTGTAAAACCAAGTGGGTTAACCTTTCTTCCAAATCAATGGAACAGTTTCTGCCAATTTTTTGGAAAAAATTTCTAATACCTGTGAAATCTGATAAACAAGTTTGATCTATGGTTTCACTTTTGTAGTTTTTTTTTCAGAAAACAAAACTTTTTCAAACAGTTTTTATAAGTTACAAGTAGTTTGGGGATATCAACGCAAAAATTAAAAAAAAAGATATCGCAACGCCAAGAAAAATAACATCTATTTGTGAGCATTGGCGACTTTCATATTCACTCTTAAATAGCTATTTAAGGTCGCTTAAGCAACAGCCCATACATTCATAGTACACATACGAGTACATATATCCAATACAATTAACACTGAGTTAAACTCGTTATGTAATGGATTACACTTGCACTGCTTTTTTTAGTAAATGAAATTATTTTGTACACTACATCTAAGTTTTTTTCACCTCAGTTAATTCAGGTTTTTAGTTTAAAAAATGCATCCACTTAAAAAGAATATTAAATCACCCATTCCTTTTTTTCGATATTTCACAAAATGCCGAATTTTATTAGCCAAACTAGCTTGCTTTAATTTTAATATCACCAAAATTACCATTCACTCGCTTCATTTTCTCCGTTTTCAAAACGATGCGGCCATGTATGTATTCGCCACTATTGTAGACTGCATCCATGCGGTCCAGTTGAAAGGAGCACATTGTAGGCATTTTTATAAGAAAAACAAAATCAAATATTTCAAACACTGCACTCGTTTCGTATACGTTTTCAAAGCAAGCAATATTTTTCCAGCTTTTATTTTCACTTTCACCAACCGTTGGCAGCGCATTCAAAAATTTTCCACACAAAACTGGCGAAATCCAAAGCGTTTCGCTGGCGATGACAGCGACTACAACGACGAAGGCGAAGACGACGACAACACAACTTCCGTTTTGTTATCCTTGCTAACTGGCGACATGTGTGTTACACTACAACTTCCCAACAAAAACATTTTGAATGCTGCAGAGCATTGACTAGCCAAGCATTCACTGAATCATA